ATCAGCACCATCATCTGCGTCAAAAACGTGATGATAATCATGTGAATGGGTCATTTCATGGCATGTATGGCCTTATGTATGATGGCACATCAAGTCGTTATTATAAACCTACATGTGTTTCCCCTGTAAGCGGTTTCTCCGTACACTCAGATGGTTCTTCCTCGAGTCTGTTTTCTAACGATGGCAGCAGTCTTTTTCTGACAATGGATCACCTCCATTACAAGACCTTAAGCCGCAGCACTTGCCTAATTCACTGGTCATGGATTCGGCTGTTAGGAACAGGGCCAGTAGTGATGGCTTGATTGGTGAATTGGGTCTTTGTAGAAATGAGAAGGTTGATTCCAGTTTTAGAGATTTTCCATTTGAATCCGATGCGATCCTACTCAATAATCCGATCAATGTCGAGAAGTACAAGGCTGGCAACGAAATAAGGAAGGGGTCTTCTGGTTTTATAGGAAATCAGCCCCTTGTTCCAATGAGTGCTGCATTGAATTTCAATGGTGGGATGAATATGGCGTTTCCCAATGATGCTTTGATTTATGATCAGGGAATTGGTTGTTGGAATGGTGCAATGGGATCTCCTTGGCAGAAAAAGGAACATACTTGTAATTATCACCACCAGAATGGAGATTCTGTATTGAACTTAAGGGCTTCTATGAGTAAGCTTTCTTTGAACGATGCTTTAGTCCATGGAAAACGAAATGGTCTGAATTGGAACGAAGATCATGCTTCACCCAGGTTGATTCAAGCAACCCCTCGTGCAAGTGTTGAAACTCTGCTACATCGTGGGTTGCCACCAGCCAATGGGATGGCTAGAGCACATTCAAACGCTAGATTCCCACTCGAAGGTCTCGAGGCTTTCACTAGTGAGGATAGTCTCATTATTCAAGGGGATGGTTTAAATTATATGATCCATAAGGGATTTGATTGTTCCAGGGAGCAAAACAAGGGTTCTCTGCAGGAGATTGGTGTGAGTAAGCGTCAAGAGAGAAGGTCAGAGCTGGATGGTTGGTCTCAAATGGCAGCAGCTGCTGGAAATGCTAAGAACTCTAAGTTATATAGAAATTTCTCTCTGCCACCAAAATATAACTCTTTGGCAGAAGCTCATGGATACATATACTTAATAGCGAAAGATCAACATGGCTGTCGGTTCTTACAGCGAGTATTTGATGAGGGTTCCCAACTGGATCTGCAAATAATATTTAAGGAGATCATTGATCATGTAGTTGAACTTATGATGAACCCTTTCGGGAACTATCTCATGCAGAATTTATTAGAAGTATGTAATGAAGAACAGAGAATGCAGATTCTATTAATGGTTACTGAAGAACCAGGGCAACTTGTCAAAATATCTCTTAATACTCATGGGTATGTCCGACACACTGCAATATATATATATGTATAATATTTTCATATCCACAGGTTCTCACACTGTTTTTCATTCTTTTAGCACTCGTGTAGTCCAAAAGTTGATTGAGACTCTCAAAACCAGGCAGCAAATTTCACTGGTTATATCAGCCCTTGAGCCTGGGTTCTTATCTCTCATAAAGGACCTAAATGGAAATCATGTTGTGCAGCGTTGCTTGCAGTGTCTTAGTAGTGAAGATAACAAGGTAAGCCTTCCATATAATGAATTGCTGAGCATTAATTTATGATATGTTTTTTTTGTACAAGTTTCGTACCAGAATGTCTGTTTTGGCGGTTTACATGAATACACGTTATAATGGATCGTATCCCTTTAATCACAAGTTGATTGAGCCTTAGTTTGACAGAAACCAAGGACATTTGTTTGCTTCCTCTTTAGAGGCAATGCATTGCATTGCATTGCATGTGCCTCATCACTGCAAGTCATGTGAGCTGCCCCGTTGATGTCACATTCTTTTTATGGCTATGCTTTTTCCTTTTTTGATAAAGGTTAGATTTCTAAGTTTAACCAGGCTGAAAATTAATCCGGCAATATAACAGCCTCTAGTCTCTTTGGAACAATAAAAAGTAATGTAAACTTGATGCAAAATGGTGCTGTGTTAGCTGTATCTTTGTTGTCAATATACTTTGTGCTGCCTGTTAGATATTTCTTGCAGATGTTGTAGTTGGTGGCAAACTACTTGATTTATTAGGGTGTCCTTTTATGTAACTTGGTAGTTTTATTTAAAATTCAGTTAAGATAATGATATGATTAAGTGCTTGTTTCATTATGATCGTTAAGCTTTTTTCCCGCGTCATTACTCCCCTCGACAGATATTTCACAATTTTCTTCCAACTGTTTTGGCAGTTTATCTTTGTCGCTTCTGAAAAGTACTGTGTTGATATTGCAACGCATCAACATGGCTGTTGCGTCTTGCAACGATGCATTAGCCACTCAACCGGGGAGTATCGAGAAAAGTTGGTTGAAGAAATATCCACCAATGGGCTTCTACTTGCACAGGATGCATATGGGTAAGTACTAGTACTCTATTCTAAGTTTATAATTGATTAATTATCAACCATCACTCGGGGGGGGGGGAATTGTTACAAGGGAAATGCAGTTTTACCCATGGCTTAGCTCTCAGCTTTAATTTTTCTAGGAAAAAGAAGAGAAAATCTCGACATACATAACTTGATGTATGGATATGTGTGTAATTATAAGAATTTCTAGTTTTCCGAATAGCCAAACTTATTGGTCAACTGGAAATACAGAAGGCGTGGAAGCAGAAAATCTTTTGGCATGTGGGATGGTATTAGTCCTTCGCTATTTAGTCCTTGTGTGATATTAGAATGTGCAGGTGGCGAAGATTTATTTCATAAAGCGAATTAACGGCTAGTTATGAGTTATGTTATTTAAAATTCAGGCTTGAAGCATGCTGAATAAGCTGTTGCCAATTGGTCTAGTGCTCATTGTAGTTCGAAAACAAATGTTTATCATCTTTAGGTCCTTCAATGTCGATCACTAATGTTAATGAATCACTTCTTCCTTTTCCCTCTTTTTTTTTGACATCTCAAGGAAACTTGTTCTTCTGCGCAAAGCCTAAACAGTTGGTTTGGTCCACGGGTGTCATCTTTTGTTTGTCAACATTACAAAAAGATGGCAAAAATAAGTTATAGAAACTGTGAAAGCTTCGTATTTGTTAAATTAAAATCTGCTTTGTTGCTTTTATCATTTGTGGAATACTTCATTGGCATATGACTGGTTTGTCCATTATGTATAACTGGGGACCAGTGGCCCCTGCAATGAAGTTTATGATAGATATTTTTCTTTTATGATATAAAATTTATCACTCTTTTCACTGCAGATTTATATTTTTTTCATTTTGCAGAAATTATGTTGTTCAGTTTATCTTGGAGTTAAAAATCCCATCTGCCACTTCAACTTTGGTTTCTCAATTCGAAGGGAACTATGTGCACCTCTCGTTGCAAAAGTTCAGCAGTCATGTCGTTGAAAAGTGTCTCGTGGTATTAAATAACAAGAGCCGGACAAGAATCATTTGTGAATTGCTCTCTGCTACTCACTTCGAACGGTTGCTACAAGATCCGCATGCAAACTACGTTGTGCAAACTGCTCTCCGTGTGTCCGAGGTTCTAAAGTCGATACTTTTTCCTTTTATTAGTGCAATCCCCAATCCCTCAATGAACACTCTATTGGCGTTTAAAGTGCATAACAATGATTGATGCCGCAAACGAGAACCACACTCGATTTTTTGGTACCGAGTACCTGCTACATGTACAGCACACAGTTTTGGTTGAAAACATATGTTCATAAGATAACACAAACTCGATCCCACATTAGGATCATATTGTTTAGTCTAACACCCTCTGTCATCCACATGATCTGTCTTAGTAAATATACATATTAGAGACAAGGCTAATGTTCTCACCAGTTCTTCGGCTTCTCCGTCGATGATCCGGCTCTTGTTTTCTTTGTCAGGGACCTCTGCACAACTCACTCGTCGAAGCAATCGGATCCCGGAAGCAATCTCTCGGAACAGCCCGTATTCCAAGAGGATTTTCTCTCAGAAGCTTCTGAAGAAGTGATGTAAATTCCCTCGTCTCTCCGTAAGAAGCAATTCTTTTTCTTTCTTTTTGTTGTTCTGGTGGATTTAGCCATAAGAAGGCAACGGTGAACATGTTTTGTTGCCCATCTCTCTAGAGTGTAAAGATTAAAGCATCTTGTTTCAGAGTTGCTTTAAGTTTTGAACATTATATTATTCTGTTGCCTTCATTTATCTCTCTATGCATTGGATATCAAAATATCTTTGTTTATTTGAAAATTATACGATGTATACAAATTGTTAGGTTCCCGAATGTGGAGGCCATTTTTAACAACTTGCATGGCATTAGGGATGGTCATATGTTGAGTTGGATTTTTCACCTATCGGAGTTTAAGTTAAATATTAAGTTCTTCTACTTGTATTTGACTAAGGTTTATGTTACATTCTTTAAAAATTTTAATTTCTTATATAATATATATTTTCTTTGTATTTTATTAATAATTAATTTTATACCTTTTAAATTTTTAATATAACTTCTTTAAAAATTTACACTTTCTAAACTTTTAATTTAACATCTTAAAAATTTAGACTTATAATATAAAATCTTACATATGTAGCTGCTAAACCCTAATACTATAATACAAATGTTTGATTTTTAATTCCAATTGAGATTCCACATAAATATAAAAAATAATTAAAAAAAAAAGATCCATTACAAATCCTCCTGGAGGTTGGGCGAACGGAATTAGATAGACAATAAACCACCAGCACCAAGTGGGCTAAACCATGTTTGATACATGTCGAGACACGTGTCGGTATTCAGGAACATAAGGACGTGGACCAATCACGTAAAGGAAACTGATCGGATCTCATCGCCCTACTCTCATCCACGAATTCTGATATCAATCCCCCTTTTAGCTCCGCCGTTGATTTCACCTCCTTGCCACGCGTCGTCCTTACAGTCATAATAATTAATAAAATATTTAAAATATTAAAATTCATTGATCTATTTGTTTTCTCTACAGTCCCGGAATCTCATCTTTTGAATTTAGGGTAAAAAAAGGGCTGGCTAGGTTAACTGGTGAATAACTTTGTACTGTAGATTTCGGAAGCTTTATTTTGCTGGTGAAGTTGTGCGTTTACTAGTGAAAAATATGTTAATCTTTGGAGTATTCGTTTTTTTTGGGTGAAATTTGTCAGTTTCAGGTGGGATTTTGTTTGGATTACGTTTTGTTTTATATTTGTTTCTGCGGAACTTTCTTTTAGTTGATCTGTTTAGATTCTCTGGTTGTTGATTTATATTTTTGTTTAGTTGCTGAAAAATTCTTGAAATGAAACAGAACTTTAGATTTTTTTTTAATTGTAAACTGCTGACTAGAAGTTAAGTTAAATCTGATACTATTATTTGCGCTTATAATATTATTTTTTCTGTTAATAGGATTATTCTTGTTGTTTCGATGAGAAAAAAAATGATTTGGAATTAGATTTACACGAGAGAATAATAATTTTTTGCTATTTGTTTACTGCTAAATAGATGCAGATTGCGTTTCGTGCTTTGAAGCTGAAAACTAATACTTTGTTAGATGTGTATTCAATTAGATTTTATTATGTTAAAAAATTGAAGTTTTTTTTTTCTTTAGGATTTTTCTAATCTGTCAAATTTTCTGTTTTCTCAGTCAGAAAGCTCAACAGACAATATCCGTCTTCCATAAACGTGACGACTGATCAAAGTGGGATTTGAGTTTAGTGGTGGATAAGGATCTCAGAGGAATGTCTGACTTTATGTATGAGGTAAGTTTTCTTATTATCTTTTACTTTTATTTCAGTTACTTCCATTTTCTAGTAGTCTAGCGCTACAATGTCTAAAATATTCTTGTAGGATGTATATTTTTTGCTTATTAATTCAACTTGAGATTGGTTTTACTCTCAGTTGTTCACTAGATTTTTCATGTCAATAGAACTTTTGTGTGGGTAAGAAGAAAAAACAAACGGTAATCAAAAGAAATAAGGCTAAATAACAAGTAGGAAAGAAGATGCGTCTCAAGAAAACTAAGGGTTAAGGAAACCTCTAGTTTTCTTTTAATCCAAAGAAAATAATAATAAGTTGTGGATGTAATATTTTTACATCTTATTATTCTAGGGTTACAAAGATAAGTTAATCTTAGCCCTAGATTTAAAGCATATAGGAAACTTATAATCCTACTCATCCAAAATATCTCTAATATTTAATAAACTGAAATAAATAAATATTATAATAATATAATCTCCCTTGTCAACTTGAAGTTGTATAACATCTTTTGTTATATGATAATAGCGGAGGATTTATTGAAAATTGAGGGTGGATTTGTTTTGAAGAAAATCGAAAGTACTGTAGTTTGTAGCTTGTTGTTTCATTTTTTGTGGGTTTCTGTTTCCTGTTGGATTTTGTTGATAGGTTAGGATTTAGGGTCAGTTTGCCCATTGTCTATTGGAACATGCTAAGCTTAAGTCATATTTGGTATTTATTTCTCTGTCAGCGATGGAGGGGGTACTTTGTGTTTATTTGTTAAGTCTGGTTGTCAAGTTAGGTTATATCATATTATATATTACATCTGTGTCCTAGGAATGGTTGTTCAATTTTCCTCTTTCATTAGAGATTGGACATCCTGATAAGTTTCGATGAATTTAACCCTAAAACGGAGTTTTATTCTTTTAGTTTAAGTTGTTTTCAATGATTTAACCCAAAACTGGATTTTGTTAGCAGGAATCGTTGTTCAGTCTTCTTCTTGGTATGCTTTTTATATAATTTTATTCACTTTAGAGACTTGATAGGCCAATGTTAGATTTGTTTACTAATGCTAATTTTGGTACAATAGAGTCATTACCTTCTAGTGCAATGGTAAAAAATCTTTGGGGTTGAAGTGTGCAAGAGCATGAGCATAGACACAGGCACAAGATGACTGCTTTTTTTTTAAGTACTTTGTAATGGTATCGACACTTTTTGACACTTTTTGATGTGTGAATGCGACATTTTTTTGACAAGGTATCGACATTTTTTTCTTTTCTAGACATAAAGTATCGACACAATATTAAAAGTGTCGATATAGGTTGTAGACCTATTCGCTCATAAAATCGGTATTTATACCGATTATATTACAAATTATCTATTAAATTATAATATGGGTTCCGATTTTTTCAATCGACACTTTTTAAAAAGGTATCGACACATTTTCTTCTATTGGGTATAAGTACACAATATTAAAAAGTGTGAAAACTTTGTTGTGGATATCATGGAAAACATGATATAGTAATGTGTTTCGATACATTTGTAAGCAGATGTAAAATATTTAATAACTAGTATTGATATTTCAACAATCCTCAAATGTATGTATACAGAGAAGTAAATATGGAATAATTAATGAAAATATACACACAATATAATCACACCAAAATATACATACACAAGAATGTTCAAATAATGTATCGACAAACGAAATTAATCCGATGAAAAATGGTTATTTTTAACGAAGTTCGGAACATTAGAGGCATTCAACAATTTTCAAATACTCTCGTATGTTTCCGCTTTTTTTTGAGTACATACATAAATAATTTTAATTATCAAACTAATGAGGTGCAATTTTACTAACAATAAACTAAATTCGTATAAGTATGAATAAATTTGTGTCATACCTAAAGCATTGTCGTTCGAATGGGAAACAACGTCAAAGGTATGTGGACATATGTAATTGTATTTCTATATAAACACATAAGTTGTTAAAATAATCAATGTCTAATACAAAATTATAAATCTTATACAAAATTAATCATACATTTACATCATTGCATCCTTTTGCTATTCTTATGTCATGGCAGTTTTTCTTATCTCCTGTCTTCGTTGATTTGATTGTGGCTTCGAGATCGTTTAATATTCGAGATCGATCCCACTCTCCAACAACTATATTCAAATTGTCAGAACGTTAAGTATTGTAAACTACAGTATTAATCTACGACTTTTAACAATTTTACCACAAACGATTTTCTTTCCACTTAAAAAATCACCAGTTGCCCCTGTAGAACCGATCGATTCCATCCACATCATCACATACATGTCGCAATCTTGTCTGTTACAAAATTTGAAAACCACATGTCAATTATGATGAATACTGCATAAATTAAGCTTTCTATTTGTGATAACATCTCATACCCATTCAATTACTTATTCTTCTTATGCTCCACAAATTTGAAATTTTTTAAGAGATACTTTCCTAGAAATCCACAGGATTCAACCCAAATGTGTTTCTTATATAAAAATCTAATATTTTAATCTGCATTAAAATAGAAGAAGTTATGATCCAAAAAAATTATGTATTAATTTACATAATGTCCTTTCATACATACATACATACATACCAATCTCTTAGCATCCTTCACTCTCTGTTTAGCTGCTCAGTTGTAAATACTATCATATATTGTTGCAAACGATCTACCATATCCAAACACTACAGATACCAATGTGAATTATGATAGTTTATTGTGATCATGATCTGCAACAAATTTCACACCTAATTTGACAAAATTCAACATTCTATAACCGAAAACATCATTTGCAATTGGTATAGTGTCTTACATTCTCACAGTCGTGAATTTCACATAGTTATTCAATATGGGACCCTAGAAAGTGGCAATACTCTCAACACTTTCTTGTTGGCATCCAACGCCTGCTGCTGCAATTACGCAACAACATTATTAATTTACCGTCTATAACACTATTATCTCCATTTATTAATTTAACTCACCGCTAAGTGGTATGGAAGGTAGCCAATCCTCCGGAGTGACTTCTGAGAATCGTAGCATACTGTCCAGGCGAGCAAATTAATAACCTAACAAAATTAATTACACAATCATAACATATTCAATAAGTTTTAACATTTCTACTTTCTATTTACCATACCGCAACCCATTCCGTAGGCTTCAACGTTGCAACGTCGTATACACTAGCGAATTGATTTCCCATTGAGATTACAGAATATATGTATGAATCATTAGGATTAATATGTTGTCATGAAACATTTAAAATAACTCACAAGCATATATTTCACTTACTCCGATTCTAACTCACTATTCTATAAATAATCACAAATTGCAGCTTCGATGTCATCAATTCCGCTTGGAATATCCGCTTTTTCAACCTATTTTGTACAAATTTTGTCACAACAACATAAAAAATGAAATTAAGTTTTCTTTTATTCAACTTACTTTCTGTTTCTTCTGGGGTGCAGGACATTCCGAATCCAAATCTGCTGCTATAACACTCTCCGGTGTATAAATGACATCGACTTCCTTCCTCCTCATTTCTTCATCTCTTCTTTTTCCTCCTCCCTCTTTTTCTTCTTTATATTTTTTCAGTTCATCGTATTTTTTTACATAGCTCTTCATCTCTTTTATTCACCATTCAATTGATCTCCTTCATCCAAGTATTTATCAACCACCCTCTTCACCCCCGTAAGTTCACTCTTCAATTCCACAACTTCCTTCAACACTCCCTCAAATTTTTTCACCGTCCATCTTAATATCACACTAACACCCAACTTCTTTCACTACTTCATCCTCAACACCTCTACTTCTTTCACCACTCCATATTTTTCCTTCCACTACCCCCTTATGCCTCTCAAGTGTATCTTCGACTCTCAAGTTTCTCTTCGACTCTATCAAGTTTTTCTTCGACTCTTGATTGTCTTTGCATGATATCAAATTGGATTTTTTGATATCAGCCAATTCAGACATCAAAATGTCGAAGTTACTATGTTTCCCTCACCGTCCCACTCACCGTCATCCCCAATACAACCATCTCTCATTTCTTCTCCTCTGCCTCCACTGCCTCCTCTACATCCTTGTCAATAACCTTCAAAATAATTACAATATTAAGACATTGATTATATTCTTAATATTATTTAATTACATTTATTACCCTTCTTGCTTCTTCGTTCTATCCAACTTCAACTTCACCATCACTCTAACCACCTCTTCCTTCCCCCAGCATGGATGCATGCCACTCCGGTTCTTTTATAAGCCGGTACTGCCTACAGCCCACCAAAAACGAATAGTGCAACATGATTTATAATAAAATTTATATTTTATATAAAAAAAAAGTTCTTCAACTCATTTAAGATTGCTATGCACCTTTTAAGGTATCTCTGGCTGCCCTTTTTAAAGGTGATTATTGATTCAATCAATCTCGAATGGATATATTTAGCCCAATTAAATTCACCTTCAAGCCTTCATCGCAAATGAGCATATGTTCCTTGTTCGTTGACGTATGACCCGTTGGATAAAGAAAGATACCGACAAGGTATAATAGAACTCTGGCCTTCGCTCATCCACCGTAAGATCTACTTTTATTTCCTCTTCAATTTCAGCATATGTCACTTTCTGCTTCAAAACCATTTGGAGGCAAGTGCTTTCCAGTTCTTACTCTTACAGACTTCTACAACCACTTTTGCCTTCATTTTCGACCCCCAATACGGTTGCAGCACATGGGATCCCGAGAGGAAATGAAAAATCACCATACTTAGCAATACATTGTCTGACATCAAATTGCGCCATCAAGGATCGGCACAATTCCCTCCGAATAGGTCGATCCTTACTCCTACCAACGATCCAAAACCTATTTCTCTCAGCACATTCACTGGCCTTTCTCCTTAAGGTGTTTAATTAATGAATTCACCCTTTTAATGCTGCATCTTGTCGACACTTCCTACATTTTTAACAATATATAATGTTATAGTTCTTATATATTTTGTATCAACGTATTTACAAGTTTAATGAATACCTTATTTTCATGTGCTTTCCTCCGTTCTTTGTATTCTTTACTATCATTCATTGACTGTGTGATGTAAGGTTCATTTTCAGCACTCATTGAATTCATTTGGACCTCACATCTTTTGTCACATGATTTCAGCATACTCGATTTTCAGAGGATATTTAATAAAATGAAATTGACATTGAGTAGTATTTAGTGTTAATGTATTGATTAAGAAACGTTTATGTTTAATATTAGGTGACAAAAGATGTGAGGTCCAATTGGAATTCAATGAGTGATGCTGAAAAGGAACCTTACATCACACAGTCAAGGAATGATAGTAAATAATACAAAGAACTGAGGAAAGCACATGAAAATAAGGTATTCATTAAACTTGTAATACGTTGATACAAAATATAAGAACTATACATTATATATTGTTAAAAAATGTAGGAAGTGTCGACAAGATGCAGCATTAAAAGGTGAATTCATTAATTAAACACCTTAAGGAGAAGGGCCAGTTGAATGTGCTGGGAGAAATAGGTTTTGGATCGTTGGTAGGAGTAAGGGATCGACCTATTCGGAGGGAATTGTGTCGATCCTTGATGGCGTAATTTGATGTCAGACAATGTATTGCTAAGTATGGTGATTTTTCATTTCCTCTCGGGATCCCCTGTGCTACAGCCGTATTGGGGGGTAGAAAATGAAGACAAAAGTGTTGTAGAAGTCTGTAAGAGTAAGGACTGGAAAGCACTTGCCTCCAATATGTTTGAAGCAGAAGGTGACATATGCTGAAATTGAAGAGGAAATAAAAAGTGGATCTTACGTGGGGATGAGCTGAAGGACAGAGTTCTATTATACCTTGTTGGTGTCTTTCTTTGTCCAACGGGTCATCGTCAACGAACAAGGAAACATATGAAGCTCATTTGCGATGAAGGCTTGAAGGGTGAATTCAATTGGGCTGAATATATCAATTCGAGATTGATTGAATCAAATCACCTTTAAAAAGGGCAGCCAAAGATACCTCAAAGGGTGCATAGCAATCTTAGAGGTAAATGAGTTGAAGAACTTTTTTGTGTTTTTATAAAAAATAAATTTTATAAATGCAGGTTGCACTGTCGATTTTTGGTCGGGCTGTGAGGCAGTACCGGCTTATAAAAGAACGGAGTGGCACGCATCGTGCATGGGGAAGGAAGAGTGATGAAGTTGAAGTTGGATAGAGCAAGAAGCAAGAAAGGGTAATAATGTAATTAATATTAAGAATATAATTAATGTCTT